GAGGGACAGACAGGGCAGCAGAGTGGGGAACATGCAGGTCCCTGGGGTCCGACTACAGAGACAGGCAAATGCTCTTTATGAAACCCAGTGTGAACGGACTTGCAAGCCCTCCAGGTTAATAATAGTCAAGCTGCAGATCATCTGCTACTTGTCAGTCCACAAGCGCTACACTGGCACTCTGCTCTCACCGCGGTGCCGCAAAGCCCACCTCAATTCAGGGCTTGCAAGTAATCTTTACGGCCAGAGTGAACTGAAAACTGCCATGCAGTTAGGCAGAGCAGATAGTATGTTCAGTTGCACTCCCATATTGATACTGATGAAGCATGAATTTCAAAAAGCCTGGGCGGAGGGACACGCTGCAGGACCTTCAGGTGGGAGCAGCCCGCAAAGGTGGCGCATGCGCCGAACCTCAGGCGCAATGAGAGGCCAGACAGAGAGCAAGAGGAGGCAAAGTCAAGTCCGATGACACCCGGGGGCGGAGCAGCCTCCAAACAGGCTTGGACAGTCATCAAAATGCGGGGGGGTGGGGGGGAGAAGCTGACATTCAAACACAGGGCTGTCCAGCCTCTTGGCCTTTTTGGGCCTCATTGAAAGAAGAAAAGTCGTCTTGGGGCCACACGTTAAACACACAAACATTAACAAAAGCTGATCAGAAAAAAAAAAAAAAAAAAGGTGATATCTTGCTACCACAAATAAGCAAAAAAGTCCTCACACAATAATCCTAATTATGCAGCAGCCAGTTCAGAGACTCTTAAAATTGTTGAGCAGGTCCAAAGTTTGTGATCACTAATATAGAAATGTACATATTTAGAAAATAAAATGTTTTTTTGGGATTTTTTTTTTGTTAGAAAGGTGAAAGAAAAATGGGCAACAAAATAGTGGGGCATGTGACACTGTATTTAAGAAACTAATGCATCAATATCTGGTTTGATGGAAGTCCCTGCAATTCTCAGTGCGTTCTCAGGGTGCTCATCAGATATCTTGGTTCTAATTTTACTCCTAACGTCTTTCATTTTTGAGAATAGTTGCTCGAAAGTGTAGGCGCTGCCAAAAGCTATGACATGAATAAGGCATGATTCTGAAGTGAGGGGTATTTGTCTCCGGGAAGACAGGACCTATGTATAAAAGTCCAGTAAAGAGATGTGATCAAATTTTTCTTTAAGTTGAATATCAGATCTCAGCTGTACGCATTCTGTTTGAAAACTGGCAGGTAACATATTTATGTCAACTAAAAGTGGAGCCACAAATGCACCAAAATACTGGTTATTTTTCCAGAAATCTTGAAATCTGCTTTCAAATTCTTATATCAAATCAAAATGCAAGGCTGAGTATTTCTCACTGTTCACAAGGCTGTGTTTAGCCAACATGTTGAAATGCATTAAATTGTTTGCCTTAATTTGACCCGTAATTTGGAAAACTGTCATGGTTTGAAACATTGAATCGATAAGTTGGTTTTCACCTTGAAGATGCATGTTTGATGCATTTAAATGAGCAGTTAAATCCACTAAAAATGCTAACTGTGTAAGACAGTTTTCATTGTCAAGTTCTGGCACAGGTTTGGCTTTTGATATCATGAACAACTTGATAACATGTCACAAATCATAAAATGCTTCAACATTCGGCCTCAATTCAGCCATCTTACTTCTTTTTTTTTTTTTTTTGAGACAGAGCCTCAAGCTGTCCTCCTGGGCAGAGTGCCGTGGCATTTACAGCTCACAGAAACCTCCAACTCCTGGGCTCAAGCGAGTCTCCTGCCTCTGCCTCCCAAGTAGCTGGGACCACAGGCGCCCGCCACAACGCCCAGCTATTTTTTGGTTGCAGCCATCATTGTTGTTTGGCGGGTCCGGGCTGGGGATTCGAACCCGCCACCTTAGGTGTACGTGGCTGGCACCTTAGCCGGTTGAGCTATAGGCGCTGAGCCAGCCATCTTACTTCTGAAGAGTAAATGATGTCACCACGGTCAGCATCTATACTCTTCAGGAATTCCTGGAATTGGAGATGATTTAATCCTTTGGCCCTTAATGACATTCATAGTCTTGATGACAATTTGCATGATGTTATCCATTTTTAGAGTTTTTGCACATAATTTTTTTTTTTTTTTGAGACAGAGTCTCACTCTATGGCCCTGGGTAGAGTGCCGTGGTACCTGGGTAAAGTGCCACCTTAAACTCTTGGGCTTAAGCGATTCTCTTGTCTCACCATCCCAAGTAGCTGGGACTACAGGCGCCCGCCACAATGCCCCGCTATATTTTTGTTGTAATTGTCATAGTTGTTTAGCAGCTCCAGGCTGGGTTTGAACCTGCCAGCCTTGGTGTATGTGGCTGGCACCTTACCCACTGAGCTACGGGTGGCACCCATAAATTTTTCTTGATGTACCATGCAATGGTACTTCATCAAATGTGAGTTTTTGTGGCAACTGCATCACCTTCTATTAATTTTACAAGTCCTTCTCTCTTACCTACTATCACTGGGGCACCATCAGTAACTATACTAGATAGGTTAACATGTTTTTTACTACTTTGCATAAATTTCTTGTTTTAGTTCTGTCTTTTAGTGGCACTACAGAAGCCATTTCCTCGGTGACATTATACTCACCATCAACACCTCTAATAAAAGTGGCGAGTTCAGCATATTTGTAGCACTTGGTGCCGTGATTCATCGCCAAAGCATAAAATTTAAAATCAGCAGCTTTACTCTCCAAACCTCTCATAGATTTTCCAATTTCTTCAAGTTTTCTGGCCATAGTCTGGTGAGACAAATGATTTTGGAAATATCTGCCTTTTTTCAGGGCAAATCATATCTGCCATGCTTTCCGTACATCGCTTAGTAAATTTGCCATCAGTAAATGATTTTGATTTTTTTGTTATTAAATACACTGCCACATAACGAGCGTTTATAATGGAATCCATCTGAGTTGTAACTTTCTCAAAATTTTTTTGAGAACTGACTTTTTTTCAGTTCTGCTACTTTGTCCTTATAACAGTCCCCACCTGCGTTGAATTTGGCAGTGCGTTTGTGCACATAAAGCCTTTTCAAATTATAGTCTTTGAGGACTTACACAAAGTCCCCTCAAATTAAGCAGAAGGTTTTACTATTTTCCTCGACAAAAAAGTAGTCATTTATCCACTTTTTATTGAACGATCTTTCTTTATCTATGATTTTTCTTTTTTGGGGTTCTGTTTTCTTTTGAGATGTTGTAAAAGCCATGCTGGGATTTACAAAAATTATAATAGATATTTACTTTTATTATGAAAACTTGACAGGAAAATAGAAAGCAAGGTTTAGGCTCTTCCATATTCTGGCTGCAGATGTAGGGCGAGGCGGAGGCCGACTGAACAGCACGGTGTGGGTGTGTGAGGTGCCGCCGAGGTGCGGAAGGACCTTGATGATCAAGTACTAGGAACACTCGCCTGACTGCTACATGACATTAAACACCTGAGGCTGCAATGGTAGGCTGTAATATTGTTGATAGTCAATGTCTCACCGAGTCACCCCGAGCACATGGAAGGTCTGATGGCGCCAATTCGACTGACTGTCTGTGCCTGGAAGCCACACACGTGTATGAATAGTGAGAGCTACTTTATGTCATGTTGTGACAAAACGTTGTCATCTACAGAGTTCATGCTCAAGAACCGTGCAATGGAGTCCCACCAAAAAATCACCAACAAACTCATAATGCTTTAAGTAAGTTTAAGATTTTGTGTTGGGCTGCATGCTGCCAGCAGGCTGTGGGTTGGACATCCCTGTTTTAAAACATTCCCTGTCAACCTAATGCATGACTGACACAGCCCTGTGAGTTTACCAATAATTTTGCGTCCTTCTGTTTAGGTGGGGGATGGAGGCAAGATTGAGGGCACAGGCCTCTGAGGAGCCAAGGGAGTGTCCCAGTTATCTCAGTAAAATTCAGCCCCGGCCCCGTGGGTCCTCTCACCCTTCTCACCTCCTTTTTAGCAAGTGGAGAGCTTTGGTTTGAATCATGCAGAAAATTCCAGCAATGATGCTGTTCTGTGCCAGGCCCACACAGTGAATGTCTTAAGCCAGTGGTTCTCAACCTGTGGGTTGCAACCCCTTTGAACTGTATTGAAGGTTCGTGGCATTAGAAAGGTTGAGAACCACTGGCCTTAAGCGTATACGCGTGCACACACATGCACACGCGCGCACACACAGCCTCTACTTTGGCTCAGTGTGGCAGCATGACTAGTAGGCCAATGCTTGATGAATTTCTCCCTCCAAGCCACCCTGAATGCTGTCCCTCGAGCCCTGCACACCCGCCCAGAGACATAGGCTGCCTGGCATGTGTGGCCTGCACAAGTGCATTGGCAACACAAATGGGGTGTCTGACTTGTGCAGGGCTCCTAAGCACAGCCTGGGCCAGTGGCACCTGGAACACGCTGACATTCAAGACCCACTACACCTTGAGTGGGGCGTCAGACCCACTACACTGGGCTGGGGCGTCAGTTTTAACCAGCCCTGCAGTGACAGTGCTGAGAGCTACATGTGGCACTCTTTTGCCACATTTAATTTGTCCGTCTCTGATAAGGGCTGGGCAGCCTTCAGAAAACAGGCTGAGAAGATTCCTAGTGCCAGGACACTGGGCAGGTGTGAGAGGATGAAGGTAATAGTATTAGTCACCACCTCATTCTGGGAAAAGTCCAGAGCTCCCAGAGTCCTTGACACCAGGGGAAGTGACAAGCAAATGCGGCTTTTTTCTAAATAGGAGATGACATAACAAAGCAGAGCATCCTGTTTTTCCAATCTTTGTCAGATTTCCAAATCATTGAACATGTAAAATTAGGCAAACTCTGGGCTTTTTCATCCCTATGTAAAGCACACACACTGAGCTTTCTCCCCTGCCTGCAGATGGCATTTCTCGTGCACGGCAGACAGTGAGTCCCTAACCCTGTGCTGGAACCGAAACTGAGGCTGCACACAGAGAATCCTACAGAGGCCCAGAGCTCTGGTCAAACGCTGCATTTTAAGTTTGTGAGGACCTTACAGACCTAGGTGAACCTGCTTCATGTATGCAATCAGCGAGGCCTTGTTACTATTCCAGAAGGATGGAAGCTTCTCCTCACGAGGGTATTTACAGCACGACAGCTCCAAAGTGATTTCAAAGCACTGGCCCCAGACGTAGTTGAAATCTTGCATTCCGCCTACACACAAGCACATTTAATGTTTGTTAATGTCTGAAAGTGAAGTGGGGCCAAAGGTCACATGCCCTGGGAATAGGCGAAGTGGACAGTCCCAGGGACCGTGCATGTTAACAGGAAGAGACAATGCTGACACACCAGTGAGCCAAACCAGGGCCTGACCCTTCACCACCCAGGGAGGCCCAGCAGCCCCAAAGGTTCCATACAGACAACTGATGGTGCTGGCTCGGGCTCAGCTGTGTGGCAGGGTTAATAACTGAAAACTTTTTGTTGTTGTTGGTTGTGGTGATACGTTGTGTGTTGCAATCAATAGCATCTTGGATTTGATGAAATTTGTTACCTTTTAAGGTTTCTGACAGATTTTAATTTGTTGCACTTGATATTTGCCCAAGAAAATGTTTTCTCAATTTCATCAGGGTATTTGGGAAATACTGAGGGAGAAAACAATTTTAATGCTAAGAAAATGGTTAAATTATATTAAAATATTATTAAGTATCAAGTAGCAACTATATGAGCCCAGATTCCAGGAAGAATCTCCCTGTCCATTCGCTTGACTTCCTGTACAGGTTTTGTGTTTCTCTCTGACCTCATTTCACAAAAGAAAAAAAAAAGAAAGGAAAAGGAAGAGAAAACTAAGCAAAGCCTGTGGCCATAGCAATGTGTCTCAGGTAGGGAGAACCTGAGCGGCAGAACAGGCGAGCACCATGGGTCCCCAGCAAAGCAGGCCAGGACTGAGGATGCTGAGGGTGCAGAGTGCGTATGGCTCTGGAAGGCCAGCCCGCCTGGCCAGCAAAACATCCAGGCTGGTAGACACTTTGCTGTGGGCTCCTCAGGGCAGTGAGAAGAGGCTGAAGCTCACACATGGGTTCACTTGGGAACAGTTCCCAGCAGCACCCGTTCCTAGTTAAATCCTAGCTGGACTTGTCTCTAATGTTACGGACAGTGAACAGAGGACAGCGCTGCCACGGGGCAGGAGGGGTCCTGTCCTAGCTACAAAGAGTAGAGAGCAGGGTCTATGCTGCAGTCCTAAAGCATGGGTCGGGGCCCTGTCCTGGACAGCACAGGGCGGTCTGGGGTGCTGTGGTGTCCAGCCGTGTGGCTGCCTGTCAGCGCGGGGCTATGCTTGCTACCCCACTAGAGAATTGGGGGGGAGCCGCCCGGCACCGCTGTACCAGCTCAGTGAGATCACTCGATAGCCTGTGCATCCAAGTGACGACTGGGGACCCGGAAGTAGCCTGCAGGCAGAAAGGCGGCCTGCAGCAGGACCAGGCTACCCGGCGTGGAAGGGAAGGCTTTCCATGGACAACGGAAATCCAGTCCCAGCCCACTGTCCTCCCTCTGCCTTTCCAGCCTTGCCACCTCCTGCCCCTGGTTATTCCTTCTTTCTGGTAAGACCCTCTCGCCTTCTGTTCCCCACCTGGCAGTCTCCACCCTCCCTTACGTGGCCATTCTATCCCAAGGGTGGGAACCTGCGAACCAGTCTGCCATCCTGCCTGAAGAGCTCTTCTGTTCCGCCTGCAGGCTGGCTTTAAATCCATGACATTTCACACACAATCCAGCTTCTTTTACCAACAGGAAGACCTGACAGTATGGTCCCCCGGCCACAGTAATCAGCCGGGTCTAGGTAGCAGCTCTCCCTGCAGGTGGGATGGAGCATTTCTCCGAGGTCTTCACTGCCGCCTGTTACATTTAGGCTCTTCAGCCCTGTAGTATACTGTACCTCTTCTAAATCTGTTTATATTCTAAGTACATATCTGTCCCATTACAGTCACTCGCCACATAATGTTTCCACCAATGACGGACTGCGTGTGTGAAGGTGGTTGGAGCGACAGGCTGTGTGCCACCTACCAGGTGTGTGGCAAGCTGTGCCATCCAGGTGTGTGTAAGGACTCTGATGTTCATACAGTCACACAATCGCCTAACACTGCGTTTCTCAGAATCTAGCTCCCCTGATAAAGCAGCTCACGGCTGTATTTATTTGCATGTCTTTTCTCTTGTTAAACTTGAAGATAAGGTTTGTGCCTCTTCTCCGGCACACTGGCTCAGAGGCAGATCTGAATAGAATTTAAATGAAGGAAGGGCACTCTTGGCAGGGAGTGCCATGTCTTCCCATCTCCCAACTCTCCGTCACCTTCACTGCGCCCGTGGAATTAGCCCATAGACACACATGTGTAGAGACCTCATCGTGCCTGAGCGAGCATCTTTTGACAACTACTCAGCACAGCCCAGCCGGCTCCTCTGGGTAAGGCAGTAAGGACAACGGAAGAAAGGGAGAGAACTCACCTTGGAGTGGATACCAAGCGTATCCATTTGTAACACCATTAGGAAAGTTCATTTTATTTTTACACTGATCGCCTTTCTTCATGTTGCTATTTCTGGATGCGTAGGTGTGTGCGAGATATTGAAAAACATCATCGTCAGGAGTCAGGCTTCGGGAGAATAATGTGCCCGTGGCTGTATTGAGAAAACAAGCCAAGACCTTTCAACTGCGGCAGAGTCAGAGGAAGGCACATTAGCTTCCTGGGTGGGAAGGTGTGGCACCCAGACACCGACTGCCTGAGATGCTCCGCCCACTACCACGTGACCACGTAGCACCCAGACGCCGACTGCCTGAGATGCTCCGCCCACTACCACGTGACCACGTGGCACCCAGACCCCGGACTGCCTGAGATGTCCCGCCCACTACCACGTGACCACGTGGCACCCAGACCCCGGACTGCCTGAGATGCTCTGCCCACTACCACGTGGCACCCAGACGCCAACTGCCTGAGATGCTTGGCCCACTACCACGTGGTACCCAGACGCTGACTGCCTGAGATGCCCCGCCCACTACCACGTGACCACGTGGCACCCAGATGCCGACTGCCTGAGATGCTCGGCCCACTACCAAGTGACCACGTGGCACCCAGACGCTGACTGCCTGAGATACCCCGCCCACTACCAAGTGACCACATGGCACCCAGACACCGACTGCCTGAGATGCTCCGCCCACTACCACGTGACCACGTGGCACCCAGACGCTGCCTGAGATGCCCCGCCCACTACCAAGTGACCACGTGGCACTCAGACACCGACTGCCTGAGATGCTCGGCCCACTACCATGTAACCAAGTGGCACCCAGACGCCGACTGCCTGAGATGTCCCGCCCACTACCACGTGACCACGTGGCACCCTGACCCTGACTGCCTGAGATGCTCTGCCCACTACCACATGACAAGGTGGTACACAGATGCTGACTGCCTGAGACGCCCCGCCCACTACCACGTGACCACGTGGCACACAGATGCTGCCTAAGACGCTCTGCCCACTTCCACGTGACCACGTGGCACGTAGACGATGACTGCCTGAGATGCTCCGCCCACTACCACATGACCACGTCCCTAAGACACTCCGCCCACTTCCACTAACGCTTCTGCCTAGGCTGCGCTTTCACAGAACAACTCAGGTACAGTCAAATGTGCTTTATCCAAAATGCTTGGGACCAGAAATGTTTCAGATTTGGGATTTTCATCTCTCAATTTTGGTATATTTGCATTATATTTACTGAATGGTCCAACGAGCATTTCCTTTTAGTATAATGTCAGTGCTCAAAAAGTTTTGGATTTTGAAGTATTTCAAATTTCAGATTTTCAGCTTAGGGATGTTCAACTTGTATATATCCAAACTCCTTCTAAATCAGCTTAAAAATTAAAATCCTCTTAGTGACTTTTGCTAATTTCTGGGGGTTGGTAAACTTTCCTTAGGTACTGAAGGAATTAAATGAAGCCACTGTAGTATTTTAAGCCCTTGGTACTTAACATCCCACAGAGTTTAGGAAGTCAGCAATTATTGTCGTATAATTAGTAAGGAAAGGTAAGTTGTTCTAGTTTTATTATCTTTTGGCCATGTTGCCTCTTGTGAGATAAACGTAAATCTGATTTTACTATTTCACTGATTCAAGTCCGGCTGCAGACTAAGCTCAGGACACTGCCCATCTGCTGCTTAAGAATTATAGGTAGGCTGGCTCAGGGCTGGGGCACCATGCTCTCTCTACTGCTGCCAGAGAAGTTAGGTGGGGGACGAGTTTACCCACTCGGGGCAGAGCGTTTGCAGCGGCGCTCACTGGGCCAGAGCTGGGCCCACGCTTGCTTACCTTGAACTCCATTATCAAATGGGTAACTGGCCACAAGAGCACCACCATGCAGGTTTGCAGAGAGGACAAACGTCTCTGTTTTCAGCCACTTCATGACTGCCAGCGTTTCGGGCTGCCTTGAGACATTATTAAATTCAAAAGCATCGGGGAAATTTCTATTCAGGTCGTAGTTGTTATAATTTTCCCTTTAAAAGAGAGAAATTTTTAGGAGAGTGGGATGGCTGGCTTCCAGCTCGGAACTTTGGTACTGTCAGCAACCAAAGACCAAATTAAATATGTGTGACGTTGAGAAAGGCAAGAAGATTTTTGTTGAGAAGTGTGCACAGGGCCATACTGCGGAAAAGGGAGGCAAGCACAAGCCAAAGCTCCATGTCTCTGTGGGCAGGAGACAGGTCGGGCTGCTGGCGTCTCTTACACAGACCCCGATAAGAGCAAAGGCATAACCTGGGGAGGGGATATACACTGGTGGAGCATTTGGGAATCCCCAGAAGTACATCCCTGGAACAAAATGATCTTCACCGGCGTTAAGAAGTAGGGAGAAAGGGCAGACTTGACAGCTTATTTCAAAAAAGCTATAACAAGTAATAGCCATTGGCCATTGCCTTATTTATTACAAAAGAGAAATATCTCACGGCTTTTTTTATGTGCACCATAATTTGATCGGTCTCATTTACCAGAATTCAGATCATGAATGAGAGAGAATATTTTTGTTGGATAGTCCTGATATAACTAAGACTGGCTTGTGGTTAAATGAATAGGATTGGTTTTTTGGATAGTGATTCCAGTTCAGTAAATGCTATCACTGTCCTCCAGTTCTAAAGATATGTTTAGATTTAATTAGTGATGTTCACCTTTTCACAAAGGTAGTAAACTGCCATCCCCAGATCTACTGAAGATTGGCTTTATAGTAAGGTTTATATAACTGATTAAATGAATATATTTAAATACTAGGGAAATCCTCTCACCATCTCAGAACCAAACAAGACTCACTGGTGATTTAATTGGTGTTCATTAGCCTGGTAAAGGTGAGGGCTGGAGAGAAGGTAGCAATGTCTTCTTTGTATTTTTGATTTTTACTATGCCAGTCAAATTTCTCTCTGTCTACTAAAATGCTGCCTTTTATTTATTGAAAGGCATTTTAGTGTGGTTTATGTGTAAGGTCAAATAAAGAATATTTAACATTTCTCTTAAAAAAATAAAAGAGAAATTTTAGGGATTGATGATGGTATGTGAGGAGTAAATTCTTGCACTGTCTAGGCCTTTGGTTTGGGCGCCAAATGTTTTTCCAAATGTGAATCCGGTGTGGAGGGTGGTTGCTCCGTGAGCCTGGCCGTCTGCCCCCTCCCCTGTGACTTGCTCTCCCCAGTGACACAGTAGCTATTTGTTGGGATACAATCACAGGCTTGGTGAGTGCTTGCATCTGGGGGCTTTGCTCTTAGAACACTCCCTTTTGGAACCTGGAGACCCAGTGGTAGCCATGTGGAGTGTCCACATGGAGGAATGAGGAGCCCAGGGGCCAGCCAGAGCTGAGACTGCAGACACCTGCCCTGGGCTCATTGTTTCAGCCAGAGCTGAGGTCTCAGCCTGCAGCATAGAGCATAGCCGCCCTGTTCTGCCCTGCCCAAATTCCTGACTTACAGAACTGACAGCAGTTAAAAAGCCTGTTTTTTTAAGTCACCAAATTTTGGGGTGGTTTGTTACATAGCAACTAATGAGATAAACAACAGTCAACATGTCACTCCATACTGTGTATTTCTAGGAAGCAGAATAGCTGTGCTTACATATGCTAGAAAAGCTTAACACTGGAGGGAATCAAGTGGTTAGATTCACTTATTTATTTTTGGTAAAGCAAACAAATTTATAAATTGCACCAATTATAAATGTATGTTAGACATTTCAGAAACTCCAAACCTTCCAAGGCAGCTTGAAACAACATGAAGTGTTTAAATCAGAATGACTTCAAGACTTGTTCTTCCTGTGGTTGGTTCCCGGACAACTGACTTAACAAATCAACCAGTGATCACCCAGGGCCTAGGCACTGTGCCAGCACCGGGGCTCTAACACGATGAATGCCATGGGTAGGATTACTGCCTCAGGTAGCTTGCAGGGTTGTAGGGAGGGAGATATTAAATAAGAAATTAGACATTAAAGACTGCACCAGGTGGCCTGAGCGCGTACCAGGGACTTGCTACACTACGAGGTAAGGGGTCCTTGACACACTACGTAAGCTGGGTGGAGGGAATGGCCTGTCCACCTGGTAGGGCAGAGGGGCTGCAGCAGGGCAGGGAGGGTGAGTGGCAACAGAGGTGAAGGCGGAGAGGAGGGTTTTGGAACACAGGAGCCTGATTCCGGATTTTACGTCAGCAGCACGACAGAGGCTCTGAGGTCTGCACTGTTATGTCGCTCCTCTCACTAGGGCCAAGAAGGGCCTATGGTGGCCTTTGGGCTCTTTTGTTTTTGTTTTATTTTTTTATTTATTTTTGGGAAACAGAGTCTTACTTTGTCACCCTGGGTAGAGTGCTGTAGCATCACAGCTCACAGCAACCTCAAACTCTCGAGCTTAAGTGATTCTCTTGGCTCAGCCTCCTGAGTAGCTGAACTTCAGGTGCCCGCCACACACTCAGCTATTTTTTAGAGATGGAGTCTTATCTGGCTCAGGTTGGTCTCGAACTCATGAGCTCAGGCAATCCACCTGCCTTGGCCTCCCAAGTGCTGGGATTACAGGCATGAGCCACTGTGCCTGGCCTGTTTTATTTATTCTTTTAGAGACAGAGTCTAACTCTGTTGCTCAGGCTGGAGTGCAATGGCACGATCATAGCTCACTGCAGCCTTAAATTCATGAGCTTGATCCTCCTGCTTCAGCTCTCAAGTAGCAGGGACTATAGGTGTGTGTTCCCACACCTGCCTACATTTTTTGTTTTTTTTTGTAGAGAAAGGGTCTCACTATTGCTCAGGCTGGTCTCAAACTCCTGGGCTCAAACAATCCACCCGCCTCGCCTGCCTCCCAGAATGTAGGGAGCCACCGGCCATCACACTGTGCTGCTATGTAAATGAGTCATCTCCTTATCAGTTTCTTTCAGGTTAAGTGTTTTGTGAAACAAACTGACAGAGCTATTGTCCGAAAACTTAAGCACATTAGGGTTTTCCAAGAAGGGGTTCATTGATCACTCAAGTCCTTTGTTTTTTAATTCCATTCTCTCTTTTCTACACATGTTGACATTAGAAAGAGTTTTATTACAAAACTAGGAGTTGAGCTGCCCACAGAATAAAACTGCCCCACACCTGGTCTTGCTCTGTCACCCAGGCTGGAGTTGTTTTGTTTTTAAATAAAGAGAGATGGGCTCATCTTTACCTTCCATTACTGTAATAACAGTCGGGCTTCTCGACAGCTTCGAATCCATCTGGGTTCATGGAGGGCATGATGTGTATCCTGGTACTATTGATCAGACTGGTGACCTCAGGGTCTTTCCCATCGCTGGTCACGAGATGGTCGATCAGATGCAGCAGCAGCTCCCGCCCAACAGTCTGCACGTGTCAGAGAGAAAAGGGGAGTGGTCAGGGCACAGGTAGCAAGGAGCCCAGAAGGATGGCTCAATGTGTGACATTTTAGGACACAACTAGTGTTAAGGGCACTGCTTCTGAATTACAGGGGCAATCACAGAAATACAACTGAATTTTATCTGTTATAAAATTTAAGTGCCCATTTGTAAATACTCCCCTATCTGAAGAATGCATTAAAGTAAAAGTTCTTAAGTTTTTCACTTGTTTACCTTCCAAAATACTTCCTAGAATGGTAGAAAAGGAGGTGGAGTCACAGAGAGGGCATGAAGAATGTCTGTGGATATTAATAATGTGTGTCCTGGTGGATAAAAGATGGAGAATCCTGTACTGCATATTTTAGTAAAGAAAAATCCAAGTTTGTCATAAGCATAATTTAAATAGGTTTCTGACTTCTCTATTCTCCTATTTCCTAATTCCCTTATTTCCAAGTTCTCCTATTGCACATTTTTGCAATTTCTGCCATATTTGTATATTTCTGATTTCAACATTTCGTGTTTGTAAACTTTAGTCATCTGCCCATCATCTTCACAATTTTTATTATCTATATGCTATTTTTATTTTATAGTTTCTTTAAATGGATTCACTTCTTACCCATCAAAAATGAACCTTTGTATCTTTACCTCTTTGCAAGGTACATGTTTCTAATACATAAATAAGAGCAGGATTACTAAAATTGTAAAAGTTGTCATATCCACCTAAAATTATATACCACCAAGGACTGGGAAACTGAAGGCCTGTGGGATTTCTTATTTTATAATTCCCCAAGAAAGAGATTTACTATTTTTCTTATATTATAAAAAGGAAATTCACATTCCAGCCTTGTGAGACCACATCAAGTTCTTCCTACAATACCAGGTTTGAGGAATCTGTTTTGAAGACCAGATGTTGTCAAGGGTTTGTAAATGGTAAATTGGAGCAGCAGGTGATTTAAATAAGGAGAGTGCTGCAGAAAAATTAATACGGACTCTACACAGGAAAGACTCAGCAGACCTCTGAAGAGCTTTAGTCTCAGCTCCAGAGGAGGGAGTGGCCCCTGTGGATCCATCCTCCCCATGCACAGACCACACGGTTTCCAGAGATGTTACCCAAATGAACATAGAATAATTGAAATTGATACAAAGAAAATTTGGGATATGTGAATTACATATTCAGAGTCAATTTATAGTCTTTTTTTTTTTTTTTTGAGCCTCACTCTGTCACACTTGGTAGAGTGCCCTGGTGTTACAGTTCACAGCAACCTCCAACTCTTGGGCTTAAGCGACTCTCTTGCCTCAGCCTCTCAAGGAGCTGGGACTACAGCTGCCTGCCACAACATCTGGCTTTGTTGTTGTTGTTGTGGTTGTTGCAGTTGTCATTTTTGCTTAGCTGGCCTGGGCTGGGTTCAAACCCACCACCCTTGGTGTATGTGGCTGATGCCATAACCACTGTGCTACAATAACCACTGTACTTCAGTTTTATTCTATTCATTTTTCTCTTTTTCCACTACATTGATTTTTGTTTTTACATTCAGAATTGTCACTGGGAAAAGTTCTTACAAGCTATATCCCAAAAATGAACGCATGTCATCCCAGCCCTGCCCCCCAGGTTCCAGTTCTAAGGCAACACATTTTGGAGGTTCAAGCCCGTTTGCAGGATTTCAACGAGTGGCCTGACTGGGTGCCCTGACGCCAGGGGGGAGGGGCTGAGGACTCCAACTGTGAAGGGAGACTCTACCTTACACTCTGAGTGTAAGGAGCTTTCCTGAAGAAGGTTGAGGAGCAGAAACAGTCAAATAAAAGGGAGGAGGAAGTGACCAGGAGTCTCCTTAAGGTTCCTTAACAGTCTAAATGCTGGTAGGAAAAATTCTAGGGCAATCTGAGTCTGGGGTGAAGTACAGAGAAGAATGATATTAGAATCCCTGTGTTCTTTTTTGCTTGTTTTTTTGAGACAGAGTTTTACTTTTTTGCCCTGGGTGGATTGTTGTGTTGTCATAGTTTACAGCAACCTCAGACTCCTGGGCTCAAGAAGTCCTCCTGCCTCAGTCTCCTGAGTGGCTGGGACTACAGGCACCTGCCACAACACCTGACTAAGGCAAATGACAGCGGTCACACAGCTGGTGAGTGGTGAGCACCCAGTACCGCTCTACTCATCTTGTATAGCGTCGTGTCTGGCTCCTGAGATCTGCAACTTCGACTCTTTCTTTTTTTTGTTGACAGAGTCTCATTCTGTTGCCCAGGCTAGAGCACTGTGGCATCATTGTAGCTCACAGAAACCTCAAACTCTTAGGCTTAAGACATCCTCCTGCCTCAGCCTCCCCAGTAGCTGGGACCAAAGGTGTGCACCACCACACCTGGCTAGTTTTTCTATTTTTAGTAGAGATGGGGTCTCACTTTAGCTTAGGCTGGTCTTGGACTCCTGAGCTCAAGCAATCCACCCACTTCGGCCTCCCAAGATGCTTGGATTACAAGTGTGAGCCACCGCGCCCGGCCACTCTCTCTTAACAATCTGAACTGTACATTCTTGAACATGAAAGAACTCAAGACATGAGTTGGTGATGAAATGCACCCAACAGAAAGCAAATGAAAACCAGAGTAAAGAAGCCAAGATTAAGAGGCTACAGTTGGGTTGGGATTCACTAAGAGACAGAATTAGGTAAGGCAACCACAGTAGTCTGGGTGCAGCCAGAATATGAGTTAAGGTTTACCATTAACAGGGTGGGTGGGGGCAGGGAGAGAGGGAAGGAGAAGAGGGAGGGATTTTCTTTTTTTTTTTTTTT